GCAACCCGTCGGGTCAACCTGAACCCGACTCATTTTTCAAACGGGTCGAATTCGGGAACCCGAACCCGACCCATTTTGAAATCGGGTCAGGTCCAACACCGAATTTTCTAGGTCGGGTTTTCGTGTCGTGTCAAATATTGACACCCCTACCCATACCACCCTATAAACTTTAATAATTCATTCCATGCACTCATATTTGTTCTATGAGTGGTAGACATGTAATATTAAAGTTTTAAGTGTTAGATATATAAATAACATGAAATAAAGTAGCATGTAAACAGCTCAATCTTCTTAAAAAAATATTTATTTAAAATATTCATATCTATTAGAAAAATTATATTTCACACAAGAGTCTTATAATCACTTTTAAAAAATATTGGGGTTATCCAAAATACGAAAAATTATTACGTGCCAAAGTTGAACGCGTTCAGACGTTAATTCGGAGCTGCCATATGACGCAATGCAAAATATGTTGAATGATGTGACGCTTCCTGATTGATCTCGAAATGTATTCGATATCGCACGTAATAATCTATCCCCCAAATAAACCCTTGAAAAAAATGGTGCACTTACCATGCAACAAGTGAGTTTAATGATTATCCCTTATCCATCTGTATTGCTCTTAATATTATTTTTTGAACACAATACCTATAGTTTATTTCAGTAAGCGGTAAACGAATTATTTCTTCTAACTGGAGGACCAAGCGGGCAGCTTCCAAGCTTTTCCATTTTGAACCCCAAAGCCTCGAAACCCTAAATTAAGCCTCAGTAAGCTTGCATTCTTCTTTGGCTACAAGATTATTACTTCTCCGGCAGAAGTATCCTCGAGTACGCGCCGAGTATGAACATCTTCAAGAAGAAAATCACATCTAAGGGTTAGATTTCTTACTATTTGTTTTGCTTGACAAATTTAGGTTATATTTCGTTGAATTTGTTTTTCCTTGCACTTTTCCTTGTTAATTGGCGGGAGATTGTGTATTTGTGCTGGTTTGAGATTTTTCTCGGGAGATTTGATCGTATTTGTCTTGATTTCGATTTCCTTGCCTCTTTTGATAGTGTTGGTTGTTTTATTTCATGCATTGCAGATGCTCTTAGGAACAGTAAAAGAGAAATGACTGTCGCCACTAGAGGTCAGTTCCCTTTACTCTTTTTTTTTTTTGGCTTCCTGCGTTACAGATGCTTTAAGGACAAGTTAAATTCATTTGTAGTTGCAATGAAGCAATAAAAGCCAGCAGATTCAGTCTAATATTGAGGGATTCTGAAAGAAATTAGCAGATCAATGATAGAATAGCAAGATGCATGCAGTTTGCAAACAGTAAAGTTGACATTTCATGTCACTGTCAAGAGGATAGATGGGAAGAGTAGCTTTTTAATGAATCTAGTTCCATATTGTTAGGACAAGGGTAATGAGGATAATGCCTGGGATTATGAAAGAATTTTACTGTTTTCTTCGAAATGTACTGCTGGTTTTTGATAGATAGCATGTTCTAGACCCTATTTTATTTTTTTTAAGAGTGATCTATGAGTTAAACTACAGAGATTGGTACAATTTTAAACTTGTGTTAAATAATTTAGGAAGATCAGGTTTTTGATGTCAACTTGTTCTTTCAGGCATTGAACGAGAGATTGCATCTCTGCAGTTAGAGGTCTGCTATCTCATTAGTTGTGCTTAAAAGAGAACCGTTTGGCAATCTGAGTGTATTAATTAGGATACCTTCTATGAGAATTCTTGCAGGAGAAGAAGCTGGTTGCAGAGATAAAGCAGACTGCCAAGACTGGAAATGAGGTGGATTTGTTGAGTTTTATTTTTTTGCTTATTTTAGTTTATTTTTCTGTTATGGTACAATGGATTTTAATGCCACAAATGATATGCTTTTATTTGATAAGTTTCTTTGTTGGAGTAGCTCGCAGTTTCTAACTTATGTGATTTCAGAATATTTAAGAAATATTCTCATACTTTTTTGAGCTTGTTTTCCAGGCTGCTACTAAGATCTTGGCTCGTCAGCTCATACGGTTGAGGCAGCAAATCACTAATTTGCAGGGTAGCCGTGCTCAAATAAGAGGTGTGGCTACTCACACACAAGTAAGGAGTATTGAATTTCATTGGATGCATCTTAATGTTTGCTAGTTCTTTTTTTCGAAAACTACATTTTATGATTTCATTCAACTCCCCAGGCCATGCATGCAAGCACTTCCGTTTCTGCTGGGATGAAAGGTGCAAGCAAAGCAATGGCTGCCATGAATAAGGTATGTATGGCATAATAATAAATGCTCAGATTGTATACGAGGGGTGCATACAAGTTAGATATGAGGGCATAATTTTGCACAACATTTTCAGCTTATAAGAAATTGCTATTCTGTTTCAGGAGATGGAGCCTGCAAAACAGGCAAAAATAATGAAGGAATTTCAGAAACAATCAACCCAAATGGACATGACGGTAGAACTCCTTAAAATCTTTTTTGAGTGTGTTCTTTTACAGTGATATTAGTCGTTTTTTGGTCATTTTAAAGTTCCTATGAAAATTAATATTTCCCTGAAATTTTTAGCATGTACACACCCGCTTTTCTTTTCTTCTGTGATGGCTTAAGCACTGAAAAATTTGCATTGCTAAACTTTTTAATATAGGATTAGAATGCTTTTAGATAGTAAAAAGAAAACTTATTTGTTCTCGTATTTGTACCATGAAGAAATAATCTGCATTATTTATTATGAATCTTTTAAATAGAAAATATTTTCTTTCTGTAGCCAATATTTTTAGATTATTCCGATCACTATGATAATTGTGCTATATGATTTGTGTACTGATGAATAGCTTATGTTATCAAACTAGCATGTTAACTAGCTGAGATTGCCTTGTTTCTTATGTAAATTTTTATATGATAATTTTGACATTGGCCTATGACTTCTATCCAACTGTATTATGATTCCGCTTGTACTGTATTTAAAAAATGTTCATAATATTTAGCACTCCAAAAAGTTTTTATTTTCTTTCAATGAACCCATTTCAGCTGTGATGAAGATCTGCATATTCTGCATTAGATGAATGTTCATAATTTTTGGCATTTGAAATAGCTTTTTTAAATTATATTTTAGTTATTTTTATCAACCCCTTTTTTTATGAATAATACAGCCTGTGCAATACTAGTAACTCCATTTTTGTGTCTTTCTTGGGTTCTCTTGTCACTACCATAAGGAAATTAGGGAATTAATGATCAACTGCGTCCTTTTTTGAATCGGCTTCACCCTTTGAATCCCATCTAGCTATGATTAAGATCTGCATAATTTGAATTAATGTATTAAACAAATGCTTATACCATTTAATCCTTCAAAATTATGCTCCCTGCCTATGTTTTGAATCTTCTGATTCTATTCTGCAATTCTTTCTTCTGTCTCTATAATTTAGCCGGAGCAAGACTACTGATTTCGTTAATGCATTTTTTTGGCGGGGGAGTGCGGGGGGCACTTCTTAGTTGAACTTCCCTTCAGTTACCAGAAATTAAAAAAATAATAAAATAAAATAAAATAATAACCAAGGTTCACCCTTATTTGGCTCCTTTAGTAATTAGCTATTTGACTGCACCACATGCCACTCTTCACTCCAATCACTCATGTGATTTTGCAAAATCATGCCTACCTTAAAGTTAAAAGCATTTTTTCTTCTACTCAGTTCGGAAGTTCTTCCCCTTTGCTTATTATTTTGTTGGAATCTTGTTTTGTACATAGAACTCTCTAATGTCTCGAATGTGCAATCATCAAACAAAGTATGGCCTGGTATCTGAATGCTGATACTGTTATGTAAGGCCATTAAAATATAATGTTAAAGGGGTGCCCCGGTCTCAATAGTTTCGTACAATTTACGCATGGGTTTGTTATTTTTTAAAAAATTCTATTTATATGCCTGCCTTAAAGATACATGGTTGTCTTACCAACACATTCATGCACATGCACAGAGACTCCATCACACACAAGAAAAAAACAAACAAAAAACACAATTTGATATTGTACTATATGTATGTTATGAGAGCAATTGCTAAAATGCCCCCTCAAAACAATGTAACTTTTCATCCTCCTATCTCATTAAGTAGTTGTGTTGTGGCCAATTAATTCTTCCCCCATTTTTTTGTAATTGAAGAGATTTGGGTGTTTTTTGAGATAATTTTCCTTCTAGTTTGTACCAGATATTATTCCAATGAATTCTTTGATTTTTTTAGTATAATTGAAGGATTGAGTATTTTCCCAAGAGGCCAAGACCCAACAATTATTTTTATTTCTCACTATACATCTCTCTCTCTCTCTCTCTCTCTATATATATATATTTGTGTGCGCTCGCGCGTGCACGCTTCAAATTACTTTGATTTTCTAAATGCCCAAACTTTATTCTCGATGTAAGTTCTCTTTGGCCTCATCGTGCACTTAGTACATCACATTTTCCCTTGAGCAATGGAAGCACTACTTGATTCACCAAGAACTTGTTCTATATTGTGATCATAAATCATTATGGTTTTTGCAATAAAAAAAAAAAGATCTATATGCATAACCAGTGGGTTATTTTTATTCCAAAGTTCAGTTCTATGCTTAAGCATAAGACACTAGAAGAGCAAGCTTTTTTGTTGCTGTTTACACATTGATCACTGGGATGGAGGCTAGAATGGAACTGTATGCCATTAACGACGATTTTGTGGAGCTATGGAAATGTTCCATCTTCAACTCGCCAATTGCTAATTATACATTACAATAGGGTTATTTGTTCAAAAGTAATCAGTTGTGCACCCCAAACACATCCCTCTGAGCCCAGTTGATTAAAGATATGCATATTGGAGGATTGGCCTGGCATGCTGAATGAGACAAAACCTTATCACAGTTGCAAGCTTGGTTATTTTGGTTGAAGCTGCTTCTCGAGATGTCTATTGTTATGTAGCAAGGTGTTCCACCTGTCAAAATTATAAAGTAAACTCACAAAAGATGGATTTGTACACGTCATTTTCCATTCCAGAGATGCTTTAGGAAGATCTGAGTCTTCACTTTGTCTTATGATTGCTTAAGGCCATAGGGGATTCAATTTAGTTATGGTGGCAATGGATCGTTTCTCAGAAATGCTGCATTTCTGAGCTTGCAAAATGACTTTTGATGTTCTTAATGTTGCCCGAATGTTTTAGGGACATTATCCGATTACATGGAATTCCTTGAAGTCTCATGTTCAATCAAGGTGTCAATTTTCTAAGTTGCTTTTGGCGAAACTATAAAGAAGCTGCACACTGATTTGCTTTTAAGTTCAGCATACTATCTTCAAATAGACAGTCAAATGAAAGTTATAAATCACACACTTACTAGTATGATTTGGTATTTGCTGAGCGAATAGCTGAAGCAATGGGATGAGGTACTTAGTCATAGAGTCTGCATACAATTTTACGGTAAACCGATCCACTGGCAAGTCTTCATTCAGCATTGTTTACACTAAAGTCTCTAATCATGTAATAGATTTGCCCGTTTAACCTAAACTTGCGCAAAGAACCAAAAGAATTTGCTCGCATATTTTGGTTCCATGATCCAAAATGTAAAGGAAAAACTTTTTAGCCCCGTGCTCATTCTTACAATCAGCAAGCTGATAAATGACCGAGGCTTAAAGTGTTCGATGTGTGCAATTTAGTTATGATTTATATACAAAAATATCGATTTCCAGTTGGCACTTTTTCTAAGGTTTCGTTTAGGATAACATTCTTATTGCTTCTAAAGTAGCTTTTTGGTAAAAAATTCTTAGTTTAAATAATTTTTGTACCAAAAAATTGCTTTAGAAGACAGTAAGAAAGCTGCCCCAAATAAAGCCTAAGTTAAATTTGTGTGAATTAGGCCCCTTCCCATTTGCTTAAAAGATTATATGATAATGCTTATGGTATTTCCCTACCACCTGAATTAAACATCTTTCCTACATTTAATGTTTAAGACCTCTACGAATATCACCCTCCAGATGATGTTTCAATCAATGAACCTGAGTCAAGTTCTTATGAAGTGAAAGAGTATCTGGTGTATCCCACCAGCTCTATGAATCCGCACTAATTTTAGAAAATAAGAGCCATTAGCTTATATTGGCTTTCGGAGTTATTTTGTGTGATGAGCAGTGAGTGTAAAATATTTTGAAGGCAGGAGCTTTAGGAATTTTGGTGTATTGTTTCATGAAAAAATATGCAGAGTAAAATTTTGGTGAATTTCAAATTCACTTCATAGTTCATTTTTATGTGTTCAAACCTCATTGAAATTGGCTAAATTCAGAGTACACCACAAGCTAACTCTCTTGTTGATGCAAGACGCCCTCATGTTCAAGTTCATAGTTCTTCATACCCAAATCTAGGTGTTTAAAACTACCTCGTCGATTATTGACACCAAATCCTATGAGCTATATGAATGTGCCATATAGCCAAGAGATTTGATTCGTGCTAAAGAATAGAGAGCTAACTAAGCCTTCATTTGGGACGATTTTCTTACTGCTTCATAAAGCAACTTCTTAGTACAAAAATTAAAATTTTCATACTAGAAAGCTGCTTTAAGAAGCAGAAAGAAAGTCGTCCCAAACAAAACCTAAGGCTGCTTGCCGAAACTACCTCTTACAAATCAGTTGCATATGTAAGTGGCCAAAAGGTGAGAACTCAACACTAGAGTATTTGAAGCGTCAGATAGATCTGAGCTCTCTCTGTCTAATGGTTTTGGTATCATAGTCAAATCTTTATGAACTCATGGACCTGCTTCTTCACAGTAAGTTTGTGCTCAAGGTCACTTGGCCAAGTGGCCTAACAGGTTACTAAGAGTTGAAAGTATTGGATGAATGGGCATAACTATTGATGTATGATTGCAACAAAATTTGTCTTTCCAGAATGAATTAGTTGGTAGGATTCAAAGTATTTCCCAAATATTGTGGTTCATCTTAACAAGGCGTGGCATTTAAAATGTTGAAATATAACAAACTCATACTTTCGAGTGAAATGAATGGCTATAATGAATTGCTGTTTAATCAGAATTAATCCTTGTATTGTACAGGAACCATATCCCAGAGTCTCGTGGTTGATAGGAATAGTTAACCACATGGTTGAAGTGCCTATATATATATATATATATTTCCAGTTTAGGGTTAATATTTTTAGGCTTGTCGGTGCTTAAGGAAACATGATCTATAAAATTGAAGAAAAATCTTGGTTCGGTGGAGGGGATTATCTTAGAGTGTTGTTGAATGCACTTTCCTATTATATGAATCTTTGATTTCAAAGTTTAATTAAGCTAGTGTCAAGGGTGTGATGCACGTCCATATCTGTCATGTTTACCAAACCTTTAATATCTTTTTTTTAATATATAATTTATTGAATTAAAACAATAGAATATCTGAATATAGTGAATCTACTCTTCTTTCAGCTTGAAATGATGTCAGAGGCAATTGATGAAACATTGGATAAAGATGAAGCAGAAGAGGAAACAGAGGAGCTAACCAACCAGGTAATTTTTAAAGATATTCGCAGAAGTAACTTTTCTTCCTGTGAAAACAGTTGGAAGAGTAATGGTTATTTGCTTTTAAATGTTATTTTAAAATAGCATAGTTTTGATTTGATTTAATCCTGATTTATGATGTTTAGGTCCTGGATGAGATTGGCGTGGACATTGCATCACAGGTACCATTCTGTTTTACAAGAGTTTTCATACGGTTTATATTCATCAAAGTGAGAGTAAGCTGAATATAGTTATTTGCTTTTTACCTTCTTCAGCTGTCAGTTGCTCCTAAAGGTCGCATTGCAGTGAATAATAAGAAGGTCGATAATGCTGCAAGGTAATATTCCTATTTTATAAACTTGAACACGATAACAATCAATCAAATCCCATTCCTTGTATAGATTGCAATTTTTGTTTACTGCAAACACTCCCCAACTATAATTTCAAAAGTTTTCAAATTTTATAGATTTTTGTGCATTAGTGATGCGCATACGTGCATTTCATAAGAGATTATTAAGTGTAGAGACCAGACGCAGAGAATTGTTCGGTTTTATCTCTATGAACAATAAAAGCGCAGTAGTGAACAATAAATGTGCAGTGTATTGTGCTTTTACTTTTCATAGAGATAATCCAGGCAGTTCTCTGTGTTCGATTTCCATACAGAATAAATTCTCGCATTTTATATGAATGGAAATGTATTCCATATTATGATATGATTCTTAACCTTTTTGTGTAGCGTAATGCTTTCTTTGTGATTTTACTGAAAAGATCCACATATGGCAGAACTGTAGCACCGGAAACTGATGAGATTGATGATTTGGAGAAGAGGTTGGCATCCTTACGGCGAGCCTGACTGAATAATGATCATCGAAGTTCTGCATGAATTTGCCTGTTTAATATTAACGCTTCAGTTTCTTTGTATTCTTTGGATGTTTCTTCCTAGAAATAGATGCATCTTTGTATGGTATGCATTTGCGAAATCATTGAAGAATTGAGAAATATTTATATTTTTCTGCAATGGGATTTACATACATATTATTGAGTGATAATATTTTGTTTTAGATAAGATAATGTTGATGGTATTTTTTATATAATTTAGAGATTAAGGTGCTTATGTAAATATTTAAGAATTCAATGATATGAATGTAAGGGCTTATTTGGGACAGTTTTTTTTTTTTTCTAATGCAATTTTTTGATATAAAAAATTCTAATCATAAAATTTATACTAACAAATTGATTTAAAAAAAATAATAAAAAATTATCCCAAACCAATCCTAAATTCCCCTTTTGGTATTTGTTGGAATTTATTTTACATATTATCAGTTCTTTTATAGATTGAAACCAAGGTTCTTGAATTAAAAAAAGGGGGTTAGAATGGATTTAATAATTGTTAAATTTATTTGAGATAAATTTAACATAAAATTTGATTGATTATTCATTTAATTTATTTAAATAAATCTAATAATTTATAATCTATTTTAACTAAAATAGTTCTTGAGGTGAAAGAACTTCCTGATATAAATTTTAGTTAAATCATGATTTTCTTCAATTATAAAATAGAGCAACCTAAATGGAATTTAAAACTTATTTTGAATAACTTTTTTTTCCATTGAAATTTTAATTTGAACAAGCTGAAGATTTTGAACCTACATAAATGAAGTAACCCTTTCCTTGAAAAGTAAAAATAAAAAAAAAACATTTCATAATTTTTTTATTACTGCAATCACACATGAGATTAAATTTATTAATGTTGAGCTGTATCATAATAATCTGGTTAATTATGAAAGTTAATCAATGATTAAATTAAAAAAGGCCAAATGTAGCAATAGCACTTTCAATAGAGCTCACAATCAACCCCTTTTATCTCTGCTACACCACAAAATCAAGCTGAAGAGAAACTGCTTCAAATAGAGTTCATTAATTAGCAAACTCATCTCCTCCACATAGCAACTGCAAAAGAGAGAAAATACCTCTTCCAGCCACTGTGCCAAGCAAGCCATGGCACACAATTTATAAAATTACCAGAAAAGTTGCAGAAGCCGGCACAGCCGCGGCATCGCCCCGATCTCATGTCATCTCTCACCATGCTTAATTTCATCATCAAAATTCGGCGACTCGCCATAGGCTATGAAGCTCATATGCTTGCTTCCTTCTGTCATTACAGCTTTAACAGCCTACAGATAACAATCCATAAGAAATCATAAGAAATAAAAAGCTGCTTTAGAAAATAATAAAAAAAAATTATGTCAAATGAAGCCTAAAGCTCCGTTTGGGGGCGGCTTTGTTTCTGCTTCTTAAAGCAGCTTTCTTAAAGAAGCGTGAATCACTAATGAGAAATGAATTTTGGAAGATTAAAATTTTCTGCAGAATGAGGTTATTATACCTTTTCAATATCAGTGAAGATAAGAGGGTTTTCTCTGAGAAATTGCAGAGCCTTGTCCCTGCCTTGTCCGAGTCTATTAAAAAATTATAGAAGAAACAATAAGATGCTGGAGATTTGATGAAAAAAAAAAAATACAGAAAATTGTGATTGTTGTTTTCAATGCATAAAAAGGTATAAATAAATAGAATAGTCAGGTTTTATGTAGATTCTCAACAATACCAAAGTGAGGTTTTTAACGGGTTTATGAGATCTGTGGTCTTTCAGTAAGGCTAAAATGCTAAAACCAAGTTACAAGAAAACCTGCAGATAATTCTCTCCAAATAAGTACATTTTGATACATTTCTTCATCTAGAAAAGGCAACATAACTTTAAGGAATGATAAAAAATATGATGGGGCACATATATTAAGAAATGTTGATCTACACTAATTTGATTAAAGTTTCGTTTGGTACAGCTTTCTTACTGCCTTCTAAAACAATTTTTAGTATAAATTTTTTTAGTTCAAAAAAATTTTTGTACTAAGAAGCAAAACAGTAAGAAAGCCGTCCCAAACGAAGCCTAAATATGTGGCAAGGAAATTTACAAGTAATCTGTGCAAAAAGTACAAAATGTGACCTTTGATCTCCATAGCTATACCATGAACCCTTCTTTGCTACAACATCCATTGTTTCAGCACAATCTAAAACACAACCCTGAAGTTCAAGTCATCAGTAGAATTATTCATTATAATAATCAATAGGCTGAAATTGGAACGCAAATTCCACAATACCAGTTTGCCGACTCCCTCCCCAAATATGATCTCAAATTCTGCTTGCTTATAGGGCCTGGACACCTGAATTAAAGACAAAAATAACAACCTTTGTAAGAAGCATAAGTTTAATATTTAAGTTATCACCTACCAATTCATTTATCAACAAAATCATAATAATAAACAGCAAACAATTCATGTATTAACCCATCATAAAATACATAAATAACAACCCCTATGCAGACTTTGGGTTCGTTTGGAAAAGCTTTCTTAATGTTTTCTAAAACAAAATTTTAGTTAAAAAAATTTTTAATTAGAATTTTTTTACTAAAAATTCGTTTTAGAAAGCTATCCCAAACGAAGCCTTCATCAAAATTTAAAACTCTAATGAGCAATAATTATAGTATATGCTTTCTTTTAGTTGTAATAACCACTTCTTTAATTTGAAGCATGATAAAGTTTAACACCAACATGCAATGATCATACTAATATCCAGGTTCAAAATTTAAACCTCAAGCATGACAACATTGAGAAAAATGTCAAAATGATTCCTAAATTATTTATAGTGGTCGCTTAAACTTCGAACTATCTAATGTATCTAATTTAATGCTTTGACTCTTCAAATTTGATTCAAAATAGGCTATCAACTCATCAAATTTGAATCAAAATAATCTAATTGAGAGACTTTTTTATCATATTTGACAAATCAATAGACTAAATTGAACACATTATATTCTTGGGATCAATATAGTCAAATAAAAATAGTAAAAAGCCCATTTTGACATTTTTCTCTAAACACATTAATAAATATGAATTTAATAAATATTTTTTAAAAGGCTCTACAACATTGACAAATGAATGCCATTGATACTGACAAAGGGGTGCTTGAATACTTAGGAAGGTGAGTCAGTGTAATAATACATTCACTTTAAAATAGAAAGAGAATAGTATTACATACTTTGCTTTTCTGAACTCTTACACGAACTCTGACTCCAATATCTTCATCCCCCTTCATTATAAGAGGGATATGAGTTGACACAAGAATCTTGGGAAGTAAACATAGTTAAAAGCAAAAGAAAGCTTCTTCAAGCTCACAGATTTTATCTTCCCGATTGGACGGATCTCAAGGCGAAGTGAAGCAAAAAATTTCAAAGCAATGCCACCACTGGTAACTTCAGGATTGCCATAGAAAACCCCAATCTTGTCAAATCCAATAAAAAAAGGGTTACAATTCTGTAGAATCACAAAACGATAGTTAGATCTTGAATGAAGCAGGCAGATAAAACCTTGTATCTTATCTGATTCAAAAATATGAGGGTACAACCAGCTTTTGAGGCATTCCCTGACATTTTGCGCAAAGCTTGACTCATCAAGCGAGCTTGCAGGCCTATTTGTTGCATTCCTATCTCTCCCTATTCCAAATATTGCAACAGATGTACATTGATCAATGAGGACCGCATAGGTGGAGGGTGAGGCGAAGAACATTAATAATGAACTTACTTCAATCTCGGCCCTCGGCGTTAGAGCTGACACAGAATCAACACATATGAGATCTATTGCTCCAGATCTGCACATGCGATCCGCAACTGAGATAAAGGAATTGCAGTGAAACATATTAGCATGTCTTATCAACCCTTTCTAAGTTATATACATCACATGATTGATTGCAGTCCCCTTTGCCCCCGCTCAACCATTAAATTAGCATTTGAGATAAAAAAAAAAACATTTGAGATTTCACATTTACGATATACAAGAACAAGCAACTAAACTCCACTGTTTTATATTCACCAAAAAATTAATAAGAATGATGTATCCGAGCAAGTACATGGGTAAATGATAGTACAAAAAAAGATGCCATGAAAGTACATATTCTGTAAAAGATTAATAAAGGATAAATACTAGATATTGCCATTCATATGAGTAGGCTTTGAAACTACAGATGTACAAAGTTACTCAAATAATTGACAGAGATTAAAGAAAAAGGTAAATATGAGCATTGACAATATGGAACATTCAAGTACATTGAGCTTAAAAAACAAATGAAGATAGTCATACTAAGAAATATAAGGTAGGTAAGGACACCATAGATATAAATCCAACTCTGAATTCTCAAACCATGAAGAGGGAGGGAGGGAGGGAGGGAGGGTGTTTTAGTTGTAAAGACCAAGGTTTAAAATTATGCAATTGGGTATTGAGACATTTTCCATCTGTGAGGTGAGGCATAAGTCTCAAAATTTAAAAAATTACGTAAAGAAAAAATGAAGATTTTTTTTTGGTATAATAACCAAATAATTTATTAACATATGACAAAAGAAATAAATTGTCATATATATGAAGCACAAAAATACAAAAAATATAAATTGGCAAATAATAAATTATGTGAAATAGAATTGAAATCCAAACATCACAATATAAAACAACATATAATATAGTTCAACTCAAAATTCTATCTTGACATTTGATTTTTTTTAAGAAAAGCAATGGCATAGCAACAAAGAAATCATCAGCACTGTCATCACTAAAGAGGTCTTTATTTGAATCATCATCATAATGAATTTCTGTCTCCCTTGCCTAATCATCTGTGGAGTCCGATGTCTCACAATCTGCTTCTTTTTCCTCTATATCAATCGCTTTTCTCTTTCCTAAATATTTTTCATCAATATAAAGATGAGTAATACTTCAAAATAAATAAGTTTTAACAAAATAATTTTTATATGCCTTTTCCATTTTGTTCTTTTTGTGCTTGGATTGTGGTGGATGTAGATTCTCTATTTCTATCACCATCAAAAAAATCAACATTCAAATCTTCATCTTGTACTAAATCTTTAAATTGCGCAATTAGAGGTGCGCCTCAGCGCTATTCTCACCCGGAATGCGTCGAGAAGGGCACCTTAAGCAGGCTACGTAAGGCATGCCTCTAATGTACTTGAGGCGCACCTTGTCTCATTTCTGTAAGGCACTCGCCTAAAAAACAAATAAATTTATCTTTTAAAACTTAAACCTAAGTCAAGCAAACCTCATTCCGTCATGATGTGTTATTCGACTTCATTTGTTGCATTTAAGGTAGAGTTTTGAACGATTTCCTAAAATCTTCTTCGCCTTCTTTGATGACATTCCCTGTTGGATCAAGTCAAGACAGTTCGACAATGTTGCCTATTGGATCAGAAGTCAATACAATTCTACAACGATCACCCCTTTCACGTGTTTCACCGATTGAGTAGGTACCTAATCTTATTGCATTTAAAAAAAATAAAATTAGAGATTCTTTTTTTTTTGCGTGTTTGATAGATTTAAAATTTTGTTCTAGGTAATTTAGGGCATCAATAAGGTTTCCTATTATATACTAATTATAGATTAAGTCAATATAATAACAAGTTCTACTATGTTTACTTAACATACTTTAGATAAATTATGTATAATTAGTGAAACCAACCATATTAAACTCAATCATCTTTGCCTCAAGGAATTCATATATATTAAATGAGTTTTAATATTTTATATTCTTAGCTTGTTATTGTAGGGTTTTATAGAAGATGGTCAGAAGCAAAGATAAAATCACGTCGAGTCATAAGGACCCAACGTGGAAAAATAATACTAGAGTTAATGTGGGAGGTAGAGAAAAGTAATACGTATATTTGAAATGTAACTATTGTAAAAAAAGTGGTGTGACTAGGATGAAGGAGCACCTAATCATATCACATAAAAATGTCGCACCATGTGTCATAATGCCTGATACCGTAAGGGAAAAGATCAAGACATGCAAAAATAAATCAGTAATGTCAAAGCACCTAACATAGAGACAATTTGATGACATAGTTGATGTGGGCTCCTACAACGGGAGCAAGCGCAGCAGTTGTGATTCATCTTCTTCATTGCAACTTATAACCTCTAGGGGTGCAAGGGATTCGATTCACTGATGCATGAAACCCTTTGCACCCCTAGAGGTGATTGGTTATAATGAAGAAGATGAATCCCGACCGCTGCGCTCGTTCTCATAGTAGGAGCCTACATCAACTCTGCATCAAATTGTCACTATGCCAGGTGCTTTAACATTAACGACTTTTTTTTTTTTTTTTTTTGATAAATCTCCTCCCTAATGGTATCAGACACTTTGACACGTGGTGCGACATTTTTGTGTGATCCAGATAGGTGCTCCATTCTACTCACACCACCTTTCACCACTTTCTCACAGTAGTTGTATTTCAAATATACATACGACTTGTCCCTGCCTCCCACATAAACTTCATTGATATGTTATGTTAGATCAGCTCACGCGGCCCAGGCGAAACAGAGGCGGAAGTTCCGCCTCTACTGTACGTGTCGCTTAAGCCACCAGGTCCAAGGAAGCTATTTAGGAAGGATTTTTTAGGGAGTTGGGAGGGTAATTTCAAAGTAGGGGCTGTTTAGAGATTTCCTTCTGAATTGCATGCATTAAATAATTTGTTTTCCTAGGGTTAGGACATCTTGAATTTGGCTAAAATTTGATATCTCTTAGGTTTAAATTTTTGGGCTCTAGCGGCGTCTAGAGATTTGGGAAAGATAGATCATTCTCTCGAAAATAGGATCAATTGTATCTTGTTATTTTTCTTCCGTTGGTTTGATTATCGTAATAAAATTACAATTTTTTGGTTTTTCCTTTGGATTGATTGATCGTTCTCGTTGTTTTTGTCAAGATCGTTAGGTTTCACTTAAGATCTTTAAGTATTTCCTAACAATTTCGACGTTGGGTCCTTCCTATGACCCGATGTGATTTTATCTTTACTTCTGATTATCCTCGACAAAACCAAGCAATAACAAGTTAAGAACATAAAATATGGAAACTCATTAAGTATATAATAATTTTTTGACTCAAAGATGGATGAGTTTAATAAGGTTGGCCTTCACTACTTATACCTACTTTACCTACAGTATGCTAAGTAAACATAATAAAGTTTGTTATAATATGGACTTCATTTTTAGCTAGTATATAATAGGAAACTTTATTGAGGCCCTAAATCACTTAGAACAAAATTTTAAATCCATCAAATACAACAAAAATTATTAGATTTTCTCTAATTTTTTTATTCAATAAAATTATCGGCAAAGCACGTGAAATGGGAGAATGATGGCTAATATCGTAGCGAGCCAAGCTCCCATTGTTACTTCCGATCCAATAGGAAGAACGTTGTCGAATTGTCTTGACTTCCGATCCAACAGGGAATGCGTCAACCTATCCTGACTTCCAATACAATAAGAAACGTCGTCGAAGATGGCGAAAGAGCTTTTAGCGATATGGAATCTATAGATTATATTTTTACATTACGTCTAAAAGACATTTTAGCAATGGCTCTCTCTCCGCTCTCTTTTTTGACTCAATCAAACATATTGGATTCTCTCTCTCTCACACACACACACAAAAGCCCTACAACTTAGCTTTGATTCAATCAAGCCTCAAGTCCCAAAACCTTAGAGTTCAATGAATTTCCACATCTTAAGCTGATACTACTCATACTTATCCCGTACACCCTAATCGACTTCACGTGATTTTTTTCAAGTCGCCATCTTCCAAGCCCTAGCGGCTTCTTTGTATGAACTTTTAACACTTCATAATCAAATTTGAAAAAATTATTTATTTTATCTTCTTAATTAATCAACCCGAGCTTCTATAAATCATCACAATAATAAATATATATATATAATGAAATCAACTAACAATCATACATCTCAAAATATTTTATTATTCGTAAAATTAATATATAATGGCGAAGAGATAAATATAATTATTACTCTATCACAAAATTCTAACTATAAAATAATAATGGAGAATATAAACACAAAAAATCCTAAAGATCACTAAAACCTCACTCTAACTGGTCCTGACCCCTTCCCTGACCTAAAATCATAAAAATTCACATAATGAGTATAAAAGGCCAGCAAGTTACCAAAATTCAGTCACTACTTTCAATGCAAGACAAGAGAATCAATATGCATGCTCAGTTCTAATCAATATCAATCATCACTTAATATGAGCAATAAAAATGTCAAAATTTAATAACAATATCAATATGATCAATAAAATCATCCAATAAGCCATGCTAGTATGCTATGCTATGATGTATCAAAATTAATGCTAGTATAATTTTTTTAGTTCTATCTATCAATTCTTTAATGTAAAGCAAGGCAGGACAATCCAGACATCCAGCTTTAATGTGGTGTTTTCTTCCATACATCTATTATCTGTCATAACTATCAATCTGTCAATCTCATCTTATAATTCATTTTTTTATTAATCATTTATTTTCATAGGTGGCTTTTAATAATTATTTAAGAGTCGTCACCCTCTATGTGTTGGCGTAATTCAGTCAGTTGGTTACAGACTATAACTAGGATTACACCACCAACCTTTTATTTAAAGGAAAGTCTGTCAGCCCACCCTCTTGCACAAGGTATTATATTTTAATAGCCAACATGTACTCATCATAGTGTTAATATCAAGCCTTCCTTGCTTACGTACAAATACAATCTTTTTCATGCAATGTAAATCAATATCATGTGTGAGATGTAGAAACTATAAATACAAGAAAATCTATCAAATTTATCTATTATGCATTACTCCAAAAAAAATCATATCTTCTAATTTAACCAGTAAAAATTCAATATATTCTAGTCAAAATGTTCATATTGACAAGATTTATCACATACCAAAAGTTATGAAGTGAAAATTTTACCAATACAAAATTATCCTCATTTTTCAGTAACTAAAATACAAAATTGATCAGAAAAATATTGAAAACACAAAATTATTAAAATAAAAAATTGGGTAATGGTTCCTTATAGTGAAATGAGTGACTCTCCCAATAGGACCGACTGCCAAAAGTTGCTTTGCAACCTCCAAAACTTAGGTTTTTTTTCTCTCTCCTCACTTTTCTCTCTTAATTCCCAAATCTCATTCTCTGTTAGCCAAATATTTCTAGCAAAATGAAGGAACAAAAGGAATTTTCATGTTAAGTGGCTTAAGATGTTTTAAATAAAATAATAAAATAATAATTAATATAATTATATGAGAATGGGTTATGACCAATTGAAGTGAGATTGGAGAAATCTTTAAGTATTTTTTTATGTTATTTATATTCTCCCTTATCATTTTGTAGTCAGGAGTTTGTGATAGAGTAATAATTGTATTGATCTCTTGGCTATTGCATATTGATATTAGGAATATAATAAAATATTTCAAGGCATATGATTGTTAGTTACTTTCACTAGATATATATTTATTATTGTGATGATTTATGAAAGCTATGGTTGATTAATTAAGAAGATAAAATAAACAATTCTTCCAAATTTAATTCTAGGGTGTTACATAACTTTCGAAGTAAATCCACTAGGAGCCGCAGGTTTTTCTTACTGCATTATCTTTGTTGAACATCTTTCCAAAGGCACAAACTCAATTTTCTTGATCATTTTTGCATGATTGTTTTAAAGCCCTATTGATTCTATTTCTTCGCATAAGCTTTACACTCATCCAACGCCTCGTAGTTGTGTAAGCTAGCATCTTGGCCTAATGCTTTTTTGATATTTATTCCTCATCCACCAAAACTCTCAAGTTGCTCAATTTCTACTCGTAGTCCTAACATCTAAATATGTCATCTCTTCCTTGTTCAAATTATATGGCTAATGCAAATGGTTCCAAGCCTTTTACTTTGTTGGTCCAACTATAAATTCAATTTTTTATTTTTTTTTCTTTTCAAACTAAAAATTATTATAAGCGTTTTATGTTCTTAACAATGTTTTGTTTGTTCTTTTATTAGTGGTTTTAATGTTTAATGGCAAATATTAATGACGTAGGCCATTTATTTTGTTATAAATAATATTTTTTTCTTTTAATATTATTACGCTTCTTATGTGAAGCATGTGATTTGATACTTTATTGTGCAAAGCCTTCTATAGTGTGTTTGTATGTATACATATAAAGAGAGACAATCTATGTAAAAGAATAAAATGCTTTCTCCTTACAAATTTTACTCGACCAATAAAAAATACATACACATAAATCATCACAGATCTCACTACCATCTTATAGAATTTCCCCTTAAGTTTGAGAGCGACTTTTCTAGCACATAACAAGCCCGTGAACAATAGACCCAAGATATCGAAAATGTGTGCTTTTATTAAAGAATTGATTGCAAAAAGTCACCATTCCCCCACTAGATTTATTATTATTAAAATTACATTTCATATATTCAATTTAGATCTACTCAAATGAAAACCTTTACTCTAAGGCTGACCTCCATAATTCAATTTTACCTTCAACTCTCTCTTTAGTCTTATCTTTAGTAACGCATTTTAATATTATTTAATTTAAATAATTTAGTAATCGTATTTTAATATTATTTAAAAGTTTATAAATTAATAAAATATATTAAATATATATCAATTAAAATTTAAAGAGTGAATATGTGTGAAAGAAAAAACATATTTTGGATCTATTTATATACTATTGAGTATAAAAATAATAATATATTTAAAATATTTAAAATTATTTTGATAAAAATACAATAAATATTTTAAATGTTTAAGTAAATTCTAATCAACTTTAAATTTTTAACTTGTTAATATATTTTAATTAATTCTAAATATTATAGCA